TCTTTGAGCCGATCTTACATCCGCTCGATTTCGGGGTCTCGATCCTGCGTCAACATGCGGCGTTCTTCATGCGAGATCGAGTCATGATGTTGGGAGCTCGGTCGAGCTGCCCTTGAGCTGCTCGGGTGTTCAGTAGGTGCCCGGATGGTGAGGTTGGCTAATCTTCCGGTCGTCTCCGCTCGCGCCTGCCGTTCGGGGGTTGGCGACGAGCTCCTTCGAGTTCGGGGTGAATCGTAAGCAGAACTCGGATTCAACTGATCCAATTGTGCTCGGTAGTTTGTCTGAGCCGTAGTGAGAAGTTCCAACCTCGAGTTGGTGTTGCGGTCTTGTTATTCCTGTCGGTCGAATCGTTGCATGATGACCTCGATCATAGCTGTCATTTGATCCTGAGCTTGTTGGGTGGGTACGACTTCTTGCCCGATGGGCTCAGTGTTAATGACGGCTTGGACTTCTTGGTCAGTGATGTTTTCGACGATTGCGGGCGCTGTCTGAGGGTCGTGATTTCTTGTATCCGTCTCCTGGTTGGCCGTGCTGTGTTCGGACTGGTTGTCCTCCATTTCCGAATTGAAATCGTGCGTTGGAGAATTTCAGAGACCTGTATAGGCCACCAATTGTTGATACTCGGGTTCGATAGTATATTTATTAAACAGTAAAGGGGTTCAGAAATCCTCGTTTATTGATATTATGCTCGGAAATAGATTACAAGTAGGATAACGGAACAAGGAAAGTAAAGGATGTTGAGCTCGGAAGTTTAGTAGACTGACGAACCTTGTATAAACGAACTGACTAAGTAACGAGCTCATGAGGTCGGGAATTGGGTAGTAAGCGAATATCCTGAGGTCGGGGCTGACTGATACGTATCCTGAGGTCGGGCCTAAGTGATAAGTACTCCGAGATCGATGATGAGCGCGTATAAAAATCACTCTCTCTGATAAATTCTCGTATGATTCCGGCGGAATGTACGAACAAAATTTATTCTTTCCTAGATTAGTTAGAGTCCAGAAAACAGTTAGTTCTCTAGTCCCTTATACTACTCCAAAAGAGGAAAAAGTGATGGGACAACTCAAGGATAAGGGTCTCCTTTTTATACTAGAATGAGAAAGTACATTTATGTAAAGTTTTCTTAGAAAGTACGCTGAGTTTTTAACTTTGCCGGATCGAACTCGGCGATGGACTTCATAATTTGTCAATTATGAGACCCATGCCCAACAGTTAATCGATCCGTTTTATCATTTAACTTATCAACTTAAATTGGTTTGTGAAATGGTTCAATCCATAATGTATTCATGAATTGATATAACCCATTTACTAAAGGTCAATTTGTAGTATAATAAAAAAATAATAATTATATTTAAAAACTTAACCAAAAATCTTAAATCTAAATGGGTGAGAATTAGCCACATTTATTGATTTTGGCTAGATTTTTAGATATAATTTTTTTTTTGTGTTATACAACCAAATTTCTCTTTACTAAATAAGTTAAAATATCGATCCATAGTTTTTTTTTTTTTTTGGCAAAATATCGATCCAGTTCATCTAACATTCAATTTATTATAAGGGGCAATTACAAAAATGCCTCTTTTTGTGTGCATATTTGCAAGAATGCCACTTAAGGGTGTTTATTTACAAAAATTCCACTAATTATAGATTTATAAAACCTATATCTTAAAATTCTAAACCCTAAAAAATGTTTTGACACCTAAAACCCCCTAAACACTCAAAACTAAACCTTAATAGAACATAATTAACCCAAACATAAATAATATAAAAAAAAAAGTTTTGAAAAAGTGGCATTTTTGTAAAGATTTTAAAAGTGTGACATTTGTAAAGTGGCACTTAAAAAGTGACTTTTTTGAAATTTCTCTTATTATAACCAGTTGTTAAATTAGCTAACCACTGTATTTTATTAAAATTCTTTTGAGGATTGATCATATTGTTTTGTTCTGAATTTGTTAATTTTAGATTTTTTTTTTGACATCAAAGAAATCTTCTATATATTAATAGAAGAAACACTATATAAAAATTCTAAGTGTCATCCAAAGAAGATTTTAAAGAACTTTTAATAAAATATATTAAAAAATTTTAATGATATGAACCATTATACAAATAATTAAAAAACTCCAACTATATCTTAGTCTAATAACCCACCAAATT